AATATAAAAAAAAATAAAACCCAAAAACCATAAATCAGTTTAAGAGAAACAAATTGAGGAGAGAGAGATGGTTGACCATATAATAAACATTTAAATAAACAATCTACTTCTATTAAACAAGAAAAAAATAGAACATCTGATAGGATTCAATAAGAGCATAAACAAGAATAATCCAAACAATGCCAAATGCAAAGGAAAAACTATTGATTTGCAATCCATCCTGGTTGGCTAAGAAAAAGCAGCAGGCAAGTAATGAGTCGAGGATTTCAAGGAAAGAAGATTGTATTTGCGGATGATTAAATAATATGGTTTTCTAATATTTTTAACAATTTACAAGTTGCTCTTCAGAAAAAAGAAGAGGAAAAATAAACTGCAAGCTTTGTATGGCACATTTTGCATACAATAACATAACGATCATGCAACTATTGAGTAAAAATTCATCTAATTGGTACATATCTTAGATTTATTAATTATATCTTTCTTTTGAAAATCGATTACTCAATCGTTATGCTTATTGTATGCAGCTATTGCTCGTTTATAATGTGCATTTGCTTTGTTGAAAAATGGTTGTATATAGTATATATATTATACACACACATACAAATGTGTAAATATATCTTAAAATATAAGATTTATTTATTGTATATAATACATAGTAAATATAGTTGTTATGTACAAACTTCATATAATTTACATAGATTTGAATTTATATATGAACAATAATTAAATATACATATGTAACTGGAGATACATTATTCGTACATTCGATTTCAGTTCTCTCGTCTTCTTCAGTATAAGAATCTAAGCATAGAATTTTGTATAACGTATAAGAGAATCAACCAATCAGAGGCAACCCGTAGAACGAAAAGTAGAAATGGAAAAGAAGGGTCTATGATTGATTGATTCTCTTATATTGGTTGCGTTCAAAGAACAAAACGCCCACTGAGCGATTAGTAACTATCGATCTTTAGTGTTAGATCCTTACATTCGACCATGTTAATGAATTACTCAACCATAGTGCAACCATTGTTTTCTGTACGCAGTCATTGTCGTTACGAAGTTACAGAATGGGAACCTACTGTAGCGGAATTCTGTAACTCGTTAAGTGCTAATAACCACAGTTTTCGGTTCGTTATATAATGTTGCACATTTTTTTGCTATATATTATACTTGCACAACGATAATATCATTATTGTAACGACTGCATAACAAGTTACAGAATCTCGCTACTGGCCGGCAAACTGCTTTGCTCTGATTGGTAGATTTCCAACATCCAATCGTAACCTCAACCGCAACCAAGCTCGTCATCTGTAATGGAATACGGCCTTTATAGAGCTTCTGCCCACAGGACGCAGTAATGCTTGCATGCGGCAAAAACGCCGCGATAACCAATAAATTTACAGCATATAAGGAAAGCCAATATGTTGATTGGCTATTACGCCATACTTTGTCACGCGGCAAGTATTTCCGTGTCCTGTAGGCAACAGTCTATAATCTATAAACCCATTGCTCATTCGCTGGTTACATCCCGCCAAAATAACGGTCACATTCGCATATAAATTACTGATTTTCGTTACGCATGTACCAACCAGGCGTCCATCTCGCAATGGTGCAACCTCATGGTCTTCACATTTTCGTTGAAGCAGCGAGTGGTTAGGAGCGCATCGGATTTAAGGTCAGTAGATATGCGAATATTTTAATATTTTATTCATATTAGTTAACAATAAATATTCGAGCGTGAAAGAAATTGTGATTAATAAACGAAAAGTTAAAGAATTTAAGATTTCATAATCGAATTCTACCCGGTTTATTAACAGCATTTCATTCTTATTCGTTCTAGACATCTTAAAACATGTCTATCATGTTGTCTGCGCTGTATATCTGCGTCGATCTGTGAAAAGTGTGATGAAAAAATTGGAAATTGTGTATTCGGTATCGAACTTAGAATCGTGCATTATGATTATTAATTAAGGAGCTTAAAAAAATTTTTATCGCTAATTCGAAGTTATAATACAAGAAAATATTTAGGAACATATTTAATTTGGAAATTCTTGAGAAATAACTGAAGAATAGAAAGACGACATGCCATTACTCCACAAAAACGTACATTGAATCCATATGGAACGCACGTTGCATTCACGTAGAATCCACAAAACCACATGGATTTCACGTGGACACAACGTTCATGGGGCTCGATTCCTGACGGCGTGCGAGTGAAATGCGTATGCGAAAATGTATAGTTAACGTTACATATAATCTAGATTTTCACATGCGCATCATTTGCACGCCGTCAGGAATCGAGCCCCTGTTTTCGTGGGGTTAAACGTATAATGAAACGATTTTTTAACCTATTGGCGCGGCTATTGTGCTATTGCTATATTATAAACGTCGAAGTAGCATTTATATAAGAATAATAATTATGTATTTTAATTAACTCGATTAATAAACAATTGAAATAATGCACATTAGCAATATGTATATAAAAATTTAGAGTTTCCCCCTGTCTTCTTCTAATTTGCATTAACAGATCAGATATATGTTAGTAGTTGCCCTAATTTTAATTCTGGCAAAAGTTGATTATTTTTTTGTCGATAATGAAATAAATAGCAGGAAATATTGCTCCTACTAAGCTTAAATTAAACATCGATAAAACTAAAGTGATAAGAAAAATAGAAGAAAGAACTAAGAAGATCAATTGAAGGTGGAGAGAGAAGAAGATAAAGGAAGTAACAGAAACAAGGTATTTCGAATATAAATTTCAAGCAAATGAAAGACAAAGAATATAGGTGAGAGAAAGAGAAAGAAAGAAATGTTATTTATTAGACAAGATAAATTCTTTTGAAAAATATAAAACGATAATGTAAAAGGTAGCAGCAAAAATAGTAATTAACAAAATTACTAAGTAACTAAATTAACTACATGACAAAAAAGAATATACAAGAAAAGAGAAAAAACTAATTTAAAACTAAAAGTATAAAAGAAAAAGAAAATATGCAGACAGAGTATAGCTTACAGTGCAAAAAGTTGCAATTAACAATAATTGCAGAAGAAAATAATATAATTACTAAAATTATAAGTCTAGAGAACATCAAAGTTTACACGAACATTGTAACATTAAAATTTATATATAAAGTGTTCCTATTAATTAATCAAAGTTGGAATTAATATATTTCAGTAATAGATACAACTTGGTGTTTTATCTCCAACCCAATCCAATGAATCTAACACAATCGACAAATTTGCGTCGTGATGAGGAATCAAGATCTACACGTAACGAAGATGACCGTTTACTTATGCGATTGAGGAGCAAAGAGGAAAAGTCAAGGCGTAGACGAGAATGGAGGCATCAACAAGAATTGGAAAGACAACATGAAAAATTAAAACGACAAATGATAATTAACTATGAGAAAAAACGCGCAGAAGCTATGAAATTCAAGCAACCATCTTCACATCATAGTCGAAGCAAAAGCAGCAGTAAGTCGCCATCGTATCATCGACACAGAGAAAGATCCCCATCGGAAGCTCCCAAATCTAACACTATATTCAAAACGTGAGTTACAAGCATATAAGTTATATTTACGTAAGTATACAACTGAGGACCTTGAGGTGTTTTAATAGAACATTAATTATTTTCTAAGAAAATAATTATTCAATTTTGCAAATTGAATTACAAAGTAAAATAGAACTTGTGTAGAAAATTGAACTAAAATCCAATGACCCACAATTTTTTGTATAATTTCGAATAACTCTACAATTGTGTTAAAGGTTGAAAAACAGTAACTACTTCGAACATTGTTCAAACATTAATTAAAAGTACTGTCCCAGTTAATACAATTAGCGGTTCATAAGCGAGCAATTAATAAGCAACTAAATTTTTCTCTTTAAAATAAAAAAACATAAAAAAATTCTTATATATTATATATATTGTTGCGCTCACTCACGCACGCATACGACCAGGAAATGAATACGCATGTTTATAAAGACGTTTAATATGCTCCTATTTACAGCGTAGAATAATTGTAATTCTTGTGAGGTCAAACTCTCTACACGTCAGCCCAGCCCGGAAGTTCATGTGCCACTCTTTCATTAGTTGTTCTTTCATTAGCGTTAACTTATTACAAGAAACACTTCTTTTTTGTCTAGGACTCGACGCTTCGCTCGCATCAAGATCAACAACAGCAATCGATTCTCGTTCTCGAAAGAACAAGCGCAACAATATATATATATGTTTATATGTATAATATAAGCAATTTTTTACTAATACCACGTACAATACGTTGAGAATAACGACTACAATGAGTCTAATATATCACGACTATATTATCTTTAGATTAGATCGGTCCGCAAGTGGGGCAGTACCTTTATTCAAGGGTCCTGAGGGCACACAGATTAGTACTGCAGAATTACGTCGTATTAAAGTTGACATTCGTAGGAATATTCCTGCAAAAGGACAAGTTACCGAACTACAACGGGATATACTTAATCCCGAGGATGTGATCCTCAAGAGAAGAGAGGGTAAAACGTTATATTCTCCTTGGCATTCTTTTGTGAAAGATGTATCGCTGAATGACAATGGAACTCCATTATCATCTAGTTATACAACTTTCTGAAATTCATGCAGTCGTGCGTACATATGTAATGACAAAAGCATTTTTATCAAATTAAATTATCAAATTAAATTTCATAATAAATAAATCATATTGTTCACTCAAACTGGCCACAAGATAATGCCAGAGGAGAAAGAGGAATTGAAAAGAAACGCTAACAAGCGAATGAAACAAAATACAAAAGAATGTTGCAACCCTCTTGCTAACTATACTCTGTCTCATCTTCTTGTAGTGACATTTAATTGGCTGCATGCATTTGAGAAAACTGTTTTGCAACTATTATCAAATATATGAATCTGATTGGAGTATGTTCTGTCATTGAGGAGGGAATTTAATATCGGTTCCCCCAGCTCCTCCATTCCGGTCCGGCTGGTAGACATTCCGGGAAGATTTTAGCTGGTAATAGTTCGATATAACTCTCCTCCAGGGGGATGAAAGTATCCACGAGGATTTCCCCGCTGTGAACAAAAAAGTATGTTCTAATGTTCTATCGTAATCACGACAAATTCTAAGAGCATGCACCAAGTAAATTGATAGATTTTATAACAATTGCAAAACAGCCTCCTTTGCTGAAGCAGCTATTGATTCTCGCACGAGACATGCGTTTATTAAAGTCGACACTCAGAAAGAGTAAAAACTTATATCACATTATGTGCCTGAGACGAGATGCTCGGTTTTGGAAGACGTCTTGAAAGACGTAATTCCAACGCAATGCCAATGTTTCAAAATTTCAACGTTCAATATATTTACATTAGCGATGTTTTACTTCAATATACTACAGTATGTTTTTCGATGCTGTAAACTCAACATAATAAAAGAAGATCAAAGAAGAAACATCCTGAAGAATCACCATTATGATATCATTCAAGGTCTCCAATACCTACGTTTCAGCGTTCTTCGTTTGAGCTCATTTATCATGGACTCTTTACAATCACGACTGTATAAAATATTCAACACGGAAGAAGTCACGATAAACAATTTTACATTGTTGTCGTGGCAACCACACAACTTATTATTTTTTAAATATAATCTTTGACTATTTTAGTAATATAATAATATACATTACAAAAATATTTGACCGGGAATGTTAATGTAAAAATATTTAATGGAAATGTAAAATGTTTAAACAAGATAAAACAAATATCTCATAATAGATATTTGTAATATAAAATAATGTAAAGAAATAATTTGTTATTGGTGCTCAGAAATGAAAAATGTACATACAAAATTATCTTTAATTTATCATAAATATATTTTATAATTTTTTGTTGTAACGTGATAAACACGTTATAATAAAATATGAAAACATTCCCGAGGAAAAAATGTAGAACATATGTTGAAACATATTTTGAAAAAATATGTAATAAATTTTATATAAATATAAAACAATAAGATTATATAGATCATATGAAGTTTCATATAATAATTAACAGTAATTTTAATATTAATGAAAATGAGAGCACCTGTATTAATATATTAATGAAATGAAAATACAACGTATTCGAAGATACAATGTGCAACGTATTCGAAGATATAATGTACAACATATTCGAAGATATGACGTACAACGTACTCGAAGATACAAGATATGGAAGATACATTAGAGTTTAGAGAAATAATCGGGTGACATTATGTAAATTTGTTCGTTCGTTCATTATCTGTTTTAAAGATAAATCCGGTATCGCGATACTATCAGTACCATAAATTCATACGTTATAAATATTCATTTTGAAACAAATATTTATATGTTACATACGAAACTTAAAAAATCGGTTGAATCTGTATTTAACGGGGATATAAATGCGTGAAATGTTCCGAACTTTTCACAATATTCGGGAAAATTAAGGGTTTGTTTTGTAATACTAAACTAGTGTATACTGTTCAAATTTGAGAAAAGACAAATGTGCAATTAAGACTTGTCAGAAAAAAGAAAATTAGTTTAGCAATAGAAAACAAACCTGTAATATCTGAAGATATAACATTGGAAGATACAACGTCAGAGATGATATAGAAGATATAACATTGAAGATACAATGCTGGAAGATACATTAAAGATACAACGTTGGAAAATATAAAAAATGTGAACAGAGTTTTTCCAATGGACCAGACGAATATATTTCGAAACTTACACATAAAATTATGGATAATTTTCTATCTACGATTATACAACATGAGAAGATATTGAATTTGGAGAAGGAAACATCATAGGTACATCTGTTATAGCATTGTAAGTACAATATATTGATCAGTATAGCATTGAAGATATAGTATTATAAATACAGCATTGAAGACACAATATTATAAATACAGCATTGAAGATACAATATCGTAGATATATTAAACATGCAACATTGGAAAATATCAAGTCGGAAATGCAACATTAAACGATATAATATCAGAAACACATTGAAGATAAAATATCAGAAATAAAACAACAGGGAAGATACATCAGATACATAACATCGAAGACACAAATACGTCATAAATATATTGAATATAGAACATCGAAAGGTATCAAGTCGGAGACTTGCGACATTAGAAGATATAATATCAAAGATGCAACGTTAAAGATAAAACTTCGGGAATAAAACAACGAGAAAAATAAATCAAAGATACAACGCCAGAAGATGTAACATTGAAGATAAAACAACAGGGAAGATAAATTACAGATACAATGCCGGAAGATGTAACGTTGAAAATAAAACAACGGAGAAGATAAAAAATACAACGCCGGAAGGTAAAACAATGGGGAAGATAAAGAGATACAACGTCAGAAGATGTACTACCACAAATATTAGTAAGTATATGGAAAAATATATCGGAAGATACCACGTCAGAGATGCAACATCGGAAATATAAAGAATATAAGGTCTGTTCTATATAGCTGAATCAGTACGCACTTTTGGAACTTCAAAAGAAACAAATATATAATTGATTTAGAATCTACAGTGTAAAAAGAGAGAAAGAGAGCTAGTACAAGTTACTAGTGCAACTAGTTCAGTTATGTATAGAACAGACCTATAGTATTAAAGATAGTACGGAAGATACAATATTTAAGTAGAGTATTGAAAATACAACATCGTAAATATTCATACAAGATCATAAATACAGCACTGAAGATCATCATTGAAGATTAACATCATACATGGAACATATAATAGCGACATAGGTACGATATAACATTAGATAATATCGAGAAATATAGAAAATTTCAACATTAGAAGATATATCCACTATAAACATTAACTTTAGGTATGTAATGAATATGTTTTTTTGTTTGTCTATATAACTATCCTGTGTTCATTCAAGCATACCCATTAATTTCCTTCTACCCTCTAATTTCTCACTCTATAAAAATGCATTATCTTCTAAGGAATTGGTATGAATTGTAACAAGGTGATTATTAATTTGTATATTTATTTGTACATTATATTCACAGGAAACTATGAAAGACCTGCGCAATCTTTCATAGCCATAGATAAACCATATTATGTCAAATATTGGTTGAAAGGATCATAAAGAGGAAGAGAATTATGTTTCTAAATACAATATATGTGATTATATAGGTGAAATATAGGATTATATTTGATATTTGTAATATCATAAAAATCGAACGATGTGGAGCTATTAATATACTAACAAATCAACTGCCATTTCGAAGAGACGCAAGTATAATTTTATTTTATAATATACTATCATTATTTTTTATTTTATTGCAATATACTATCCCTCTAATACTAAGCCAATTCGATCTTTGACACGATGCGTGCTATCTTAAATTGTGACATAGCCGTAGGGTTTACGAGAAATGCAGATCGAATCCTCAGAAGATCCAATATGGGATGATATCAACAATGAAAGATACAATAAAATTTATAACAGAAGATACAACAATCGAAGATACAACAACGGAAGATTCAATAACATATAAAATAACATTAGAAGATACAAATATTTTGAGAGCTTTACTAGGAAGATTTGTCCCGATTTAGAATATTTCCAGAGAAGATAAACTTTTAATTGCACAAAGTTATTTAACTCTACAGAAACAAGTAATGCACACCTCCAATGCATTGTACGGACTACGTATTAAGTAAGTAGTGCAGTAAACAATTCTTTTTTTGTTATAATACAAATAACAGTTTTAAAGAATTATATTTGTGTTAATCATTATGTGTATAAACATAATTTATTAATATAACAATATATCTTTTTAACTTTATCCAATCTTTTGACCGTTGAAAATCAAAGTCAATATTAATCACAATGTTAATATTCTAATTTTCACAGAAAATGTACTAGCACACATTTATCTTGACAAAATTGCAACTGTGTCCTGTTGTTTAAACGCAATTGGTTATTCAATACGTGAAGCATAATAAATGATAATGTATTATCATTTAGCGAAATCAAAAGGTATGTAAGATATATACATGACGTTATTTATAACTAATATGTTTCATATAATTCAAATATTGAAGCATATTAAAAGTAAGATACATTACGGAGAAGCAAGTTTATTATAAAGAATAAATTTTATAAGTTCAATTTTATAAGTTTTTATAAAGCAAATTTTACTTTTGGGACTTTTTTCATAGCAACAATGAAGATATTTCTACGAACATCGAAGATCGTCTATAAAACCTTTGAATAAATATCAAATTAGTATCGTGCATAACAGTAAAATTATTTTGCCCTTATTTAACATACAGGTTTGCATTTTTAATCTCATTATTCTTTCTATCTTTGTCTCTACTTGCAAAAATGTGTTACTAGTCTGATATTTGCAACATTATCAATAGAGATTACAATAATGTCCAATAATAATGATTAATGAATAGTCCAAACATAAAAATGTTACATTATTTAAATAGTCAAAAGGGTTGCAAACTATTATGTTATTAATACAACTTTTATGTTAAAATTGTACTATTATAATACTGTATATGTAGGAGAAGGATCTAAGCCGATATTTGAGAGGGATGAAATAAAGGTAATTGGTGAAGTGGAGGAACGACGTACGGTTGTAGCCATAGATAGCGAACAATCAGGTATGCATTATTATAAACAATCATGATTATTATTCAATTCAGTGCAATAAAATCGAAGAGGGTTAAGTTTGATTTTCTTCTGAAACACGTCAATCTTCGAACGGATAAGATGACTATGTTATAAAGCATTGATGATATGAAAATGTATATTTCTTTAACCGTACGACTTTCAGTTTCAGCAGGCAAAATACGAATTTCTAAAAGACGTTCGTCATCGTTGAGCCCTATTAGGAATCGCAGTTACAGTCCTGGATACTTATCTTCCTATCACACCAGGTACGAGTAGATGATATTTATAATTTACTGATTCAATAATTGTTAAATAATATGTAGTAAATTCATAATTTACTAATAATTGTTAAATAAATAATTGTTAATACTCCTTTTGATATCTTTTTTCATCCTATTCCAGATATCGAAGTGCTGAGTCAAAAGATCATGATAAAAGGATAGAATATACCGACTATCATAAAAGAGACAGGTGAGGAGATATATATTATTAATTGGTTAATAAAAACAAGTTGAACTTGCTTTTTTTCTTAAATAATTCATATAAATTAATATTATGAGGTTGATAATATAGTTATAATTCTAAAAATTTCTAAAAAACAATCTTTCTTACACTATTGCAGACATAATAATATACAGAAACATGAGGACTATAAAAAGGAATATACGGATAGAGATGTAAAAAGGCATGACAGTACTCGTTCAAGTTCTAGAGAACGGGATACAAACAATTCCCATTCTAGGTATGAAATCGCGATTCATATCACGTATTATTATTATTATTATTGGAAGTCTCTGCATACAAGAATGTTGGATGGAGTCGAACATTTATGCTGGGTCGCTAATCGGATAATCATTATTATTATTAGTTTTATTATTAAAGGTCTATTATAGAGAATAGATCTTATCGCAGCAGCCGATATCGAGATAGATCGGACGAACGATCTCGAGAAAGAAGAGATAGAGACAGAGATAGGGATAGGGATAGAGATCGAGATCGAGAAAGAGATAGAAATAGAGGCCGATCCAGAGATAGGAGAGATCCAGCACCACATTATGTTGAACACGTACCAGTGCCTATTTATTATGGTGTAAGTATATTTATATCAATTTAATGAATTCTTGGTAGTAATTGATTTATTTATTAATGTTTGATCTTCAGAATTTCCCTCCGAGACCATACATGGTAAGTCCCATGGTCACAATTCCTAGGGGACAGGTTCCTCCTCTAGGAAGAGGTCGGCACCCCCCTTTAATGGGACCAGTTAGACCATTCCCACCACGATTTGTTCCGCCTGATATATATAGAATGGGACCTCCAGCTCCAAATCCGAGTAAGTAAATTTAATCAAAGTGTATAATCAAATGTATGTAATGAAATATAATAAATCTTTGCAGGATATGGACCTATGTTCGGATAAAACTCGGAAACAGATGGAATTCTTGTTCTTTAGTTCACTTGCAGGCAAGTCGGATCATGATTTAATTTTCTCTCCGGGACATATGCGTTTACAAATTTCTGTGGTAAAAAATTTATATTGATTTATATGAATTGTATTAATTGTATTATACATGTGCGTTTGTTATAATAAATTTGGGATGTTAAAGAAATGTGTATATATATATAAGAAAATATGAACATGAAATATATTTCTCATAGCATGATTTAGCGAAATTATTTCCTAACATTCGAATACAGTTTGCCAGTGTCACGATCTGGGAAGAATAAAATGAAAATTTGTAAATTTTATTTCGAATTTGATATTCGTCGAAACTTATCACTAACTCGTATTAAAAAAACAAACGATCGAAAAACTCAGATATACCGTTTTCGCTTTTCTCGTTTCAATTCTCTAACTGTTTCGAACGGCCCGAGCTGGAGAGCGGTCGGATCGTTTGCTAGATTGAGTGATAGTTATCCCGCCGGGATTAACAAGCACGGGACTGTCGCCTGTTACCCATCTATCTAAGTGACTAAGTGGAATGAAGTAAGATGCAAGAGCATCGTCTTGCTGCACATCCTACGAGTAAAGATGTACGTTTTCGAGGCGGTTTGACAACTTATTTTCCACAGATCGCAAGTAAATTTCTCTATTTAAATAGCCTTTGAAGAAGTAAAGTCTAATTACATGAGTCCCGATAATGCTATCTCAAACATTAATCGACTATTGATGTTAGTATTCTACGCTCCGCTGCCATTGTGAATTGTGATTAGACCAATAATAGCAGTTGTGTCAGTTCAATTCAATTTTCTTATATTATTAAATTTTGTTTTATCTCTAAACAGAACGTACATGAAGAAATATCGGTCTCTCCGATATTGATTTCAAGCAGTGATGGGAAATCGGTGACGGGCTTTCCAACGAATTTCCCTCACCACGCACGCACACACAGCCGACTCGGTCTATCTGTATCGGCCACGCGCTCGGCAATCGTCTGCGTGTCGAGCGAAAGAGAGAATATCATTTCCCTCTTTCTCGCTCTCGTGTTCGCTCGGCGACACGAGCGAGAATATCTTTCCCTCTTTGTCGCTCTTGTTCTCGCTCAGCGACGCGAATTAGGCTGATTATGCCGTTGGTCTCGTTCCGGATGGACAATGTAGTAGTGCTTCTATGCACGCGTTGGCCAACATGTTCAGAATAACCGCCAAAAGCGGAAGAAAGGCGCGCGCCTGACGTCTGCCGCTTTGTGCGCTAGTGGCGCTCTGTGGCGGTTACCAACCTCATTGTGTTTTTGTTACACGCATGGTCAACAGTTCGTGTTTCCGTTTATTTTCTTTCTTGTGTTTTTTGTGATTCTTTTGAGTTCCTTTTATACAGGTCTCTTCATCATGCCGAAGAATAAGTACCGCAGCCCTTCCCGTTCTCGCTCGAGCAAGCGCAGGCGTAGGTCTCGCGATAGATCCCGTGAGCGTGCGAGAGAGGTTAGGCGTAGCAGGTCGCCTCGCCGAGCTCCGTCGGAGGAATCCCCGTCCTCGCATCCTCCAGCTCAGGATAAAATCGCCGAAGCTTTGTGGAAGATCTTCGATTTCATGGAAAAACAGAGTGTGCCAGGCTCTTCGGCTAGCCTCCATCCTGCACAGGCCACTCGTTTCCCCCAGGAGAGTAGGCACGACGATGCCTCTCCTGTGGAGGTTTTTTCGACGGATGAGTAGACCTGTTATAGATAAGCTTGCTACTTTCTATTCGTACGATTTCCTCCCGTTAGCGACGATAACCAAAAAACTCGTGGTGCTCCTCGCGCTTGGCACCGGTCAACGCGTCCAGACTCTGGCAGCGATCAAAGTCTCAAATTTTGTTAGCAGATCAGCTGCTCATTCGTATTCCTGAGCGCCTCAAAACTTCAGCGCCGGGGCGCCCTCAGCCCTTCTTTTCTTTTTCTCCCTTCGTGGACCACGACAATCTCTGTCTTTACCGTTTGATGTCGCATTATTTGAACGTTACGCAACATCTTCGCGTCATCTTTCGATACTCTGTTCGTTGCCTATCGTAAACCTCACACAGCAGTAGGTCCGCAAACTATTAGTCGCTGGATCCGTTCGTGGCTTTCGGAATGCGGCATCCGGACGGATATTTTTTCGGCGTATAGTACTCGACACGCATCGACATCCTTTGCAGCTCATCACGGCATCTCTCTCGATATAATAAAACGAGCAGCGGGCTGGTCCGGTCATTCTCGCGTTTTCGCGCAATTTTATAATCGCCCTGTAGTTAATCCCGAACAATTTAGTGATTCTTTATTACGTCGAGCTTAATATTTATCACAAAGTTCGCTCCTTCGCCTTGTGTTGCCTTATTTACTATGTAGGTTGCCTTCATATCAGATAGCATATTTTATTTTATTTAACAGTTGGCGATAACGTCCTTCGGCTCATGTTCTCTTAAGTAAGAAAGGTAAAAAAAAACGTAACCACAAATATTTCGCAAAGCAGTTCCTTCTTTGCTACGACGAGCAAATCGCCTTCTGAACATCTACATTGTCCATCCGGAACGAGACCAACGGCATAATTATAAAATCAAACGAACTCACCGAGTGAAGTTCGATTTGAATTATGCCTGGTGTCTCGTCCGGATGGACCATTCCCACCCGCAGCTACGACTGCTCCCTTCCCCTTCCTTGACTGAGGTGGGCGATTCGCTGTTCTCAAATAAACAGGTTGGTAACCGCCACAGAGCGCCACTAGCGCACAGAGCGGCAGGCGTCAGGCGCGCGCCTTTCTTCCGCTTTTAGCGGTTATTCTGAATATGTTGGCCAACGCGTGCATAGAAGCACTACTACATTGTCCATCCGGACGAGACACCAGGCATAATTCAAATCGAACTTCACTCGGTGAGTTCGTTTGATTTTATAATTCTTTCGCAGCTGTAATCTGAGTCGCGGGCGCGACTATGACGATACTGAGAAGTTTTTCTTATTCGGCGTGCCGAAATTATGAATATTATTTTATTATTAATATTATTATTTATAATAATATTAATAATATTCTGCGCCGAGAAAATGAAATATATTTCATTAATTGTTTTGCTGAGGCGGACAGGTTCATAGATTTGATTGTTGAGAATTGTTTAATAATATTTGAAAAATAATTTTAAGTTATACAAAGATGTAGAATAAAATATGGAAAAGTATTATAACAAAGTCGAGAAGGTACGAAATGAAACCTTGCTTTCATTACAACGTCCTTTGAATTAACAAATACTCTTCAAATAGTATTAAACAATCCTCAAAAAATAATTACATCCGTGAAATCTTCTGTTTGCACGAAAAAAATTCATAAAATGTCTGTTTCGCCGCGCTGAATGAGAAAATCCTCAGAACAATGTTATATTTAAAATAATGTACAATGCATTAATAAATATGCAATCTAGTGAAAAGATAATTTATTTGCCTATTGTAATATCTTCGAATGTATTCACTTGTTTGCGAAACGATTTTCCCATGTATTTTCGATGCAGTGTCGAACAGCACAATTGTTAATCCAATGAACTTGGTTAAGAGAAATAAGTAGACCATTCCAAATAAGTGGCAGCGCTCTGAGTTCAGTGTTCAGTGCACCATTCAATAAAAATATAATAATATTGTTTGTATTAAAATGATACAAAGTTTAACGAATTGTTTGTGAAAAATCACCGTAAATAGATGAAAAACAGTGTACAGTTATAGTATACAGTATACAGTTTAGGAAACCCACTCTTTGTCAACAACGTGGATATAACCAAGTTGGAAAAAGAATAAACATTCTTCTTGCCGATTCATGCGATGATACCAAAGTATGAAGCAAATGCATTATGCATGTAGTACTGCAGTGGTATTGCATGAAATGGTGCATGCATAAAGAATGAAAAACTATTAATAAAGTAATTATTAGTAATTAAGTAATCAGTGTTTAAAAACATGTACTGTGTTGTGTATATAAATGGTTTTAGTAAAAAAGAATATGTAAATCCACATTACTGCTCGATGGAAACCGTGAGAAGGTGGTGGTTTTTTCCATCAGGAGGAAATGATAAACAAATGTCGAATAAGTCACTTATGAAATGGAATTATTTGACATTGATTTATATTTCCTAAGGAATGGTAGGATGTAAGGAAAGGAAGAAGCAAATATAAAGGGAATATAGTAATATCATGCAAGCGTCATGCAGACAAAACATACAAAGAAGAAAATGTAATATAAAAATACATATAAGATATTACAGCTACTGTATTTACAGTTAATTTACAGAGTAATAATGCATGCATTTGAACAATGTTTTTATGAAAAGTCTTTCACACAGTGGAAAGCGAGATTTAACGCGTAAATCTGCCTTTCTTTGACAATACCAAATATCATCAATTTTAGACATATCATCTATTTTAGAATGTCACATTCAATCATGTAAATACTATATAACACATGGTGTTATATAGTGTAGCATTTACATAATTGAGAGTGATATTCTAACATAGATGGTATGTAAATGATACTTGTGGTTTATTGTGTTAACTCGCACAAATGGGATGTGAATAATAACATCCAAAACTATACATAGAATGGGAAAACAAAATCTTCATAGACAAACTTTGCTGTAAATCCGCCATTGCAATTGTCAACTATGCAAAAAACTCATCGGAGCTCCTTCTCAATCCAATAAACGACGTTTATTGGATATGAGATAGCTCTTATGTACTGAACGTCTATCCAAGACCCTTTATTTTCTTTACGAAAGTAAAGAGTTTAGATAGACGTTCAAAAAAATGCATAGTTAACAATTGCAATGGCGGATTTACTTACTGATTTTTGGAAATTTCAAAATCATCAAATTAACAAAAATCAGGGCGCTATTGTAACAATATATTCTTGAGACTAAATAAAGCAAGAAAGTCTAGTACCACTTTTTCTTCCGACAAATAATTAGCGAGATATCGTAAGTTAAATATTTAAAAAGTTGTCAAATTTTCCTCAAATATCTCAAAAAATATTAGACAAATAAAAAAAGTTTTTAGACAAAAGTTGTTCAAATTAACTAGTAGAAAAAAAGTGTAATAAAAAATAAGGGTTCCCATTTAAAAGACGCAAGTTGATCTTCAAATGACCTTGAAAATAAAGATCAAAGTCAAAGTTAAGGTCATCATAAGGTAAGCTCACTTAAAATCTCTACTCTAATCTAACTTTTATCCAGATTATTTTCCTTGAAACTTCAATACTGAAGTTATTTGGGATGGGGCATTAAAATCATCCTGTATATAGAGCAGTCGTTCGAATTAAGGATGGGCGATACAGTATCGATATTTTAAAATATTGATACTTTTGGATTTAAATATCGATATTTTGTATCGATATTTTTCTTTTCAATATTACTGGGTATCGATATTTCAAAAGCAATATCGGACTTTCCATACAATTCAATACGAATCATTAATATTCTATTGGGCGAAAATTTTAGCGTGCCGAGACTTTTGGAACTAACGCTACCAACCACAGCCATTCTCAGTTCCGCTTGCGTTTGAATTGTCGCAAACCGTTGCAAATTAATGGCGAATTCAATTGACATTCATTCGCTCTGTCCTAATGTCTAGTAACTTTTTGTTATTAGGTGCACTTGTTCGGAGTACATACTTTTATGCTAACCTAAGTGCGGGTAATTTAAGAAGCTTTCTGAATTTGTGTATATATCATATAATTTGTAAAAGTACTCTGTCTTAAACGAAAATGTCGCTAAAACTAAAGAAATAATATTTTTAATTTGCACACATTTAGGCCGGTATTCATAGTCGGATCTTATATTTAAAACCGTCTTGAGTTCATCTTCAGATATTGTATGGATCATTTCATTGGCTACTAGTATCTAAACATGAACTTAAGACGGATTTAAATATAAGGTTGCATTCAGAAAATACAACAGTTGAACAATTCGTCAATGTAATTGGACTTCTTCCTTTTTTCCTATGTGACTACGAATACATTTATTTCTGACGCATTCCAAAAACGGTAACTATAATAGATTTTAGTATAAACAAGTATAAATCAATAAATAAATATATAGTAGGTACATAGTCATTCATTCATTCAATAAATGATTCTGAGCAGAGTTGTTGCACTCTTTCTCCTACGCCAGTCAACGATTACGAAAGTAAGAGAGAAACAGGGACAACGCGTACGCAGTCCCCACGATCAAAAATATGTGTAGCTACGGGAACCATATCCAACCGCCGCGAAAGCGAACAAAAGACTCTAAGTACACTCGTGAACTAAAAGGTATGTGCACCGATTTTTTGTTGACTTCGGAACGCGCTCCAACTTGAGGAGAAAGACAACCACTACTTCATACGTCAGCACTGTCACTTATTACAAAAGCAGAAGGATGGCATATACGAGTGTCAAATAAGTAATGATTGTGGCGTAGACACAAATGTCTTGGAGACTGAGTTATAATTGAAGAAATGAAGAAAACAAATAGTGATTGTGAGGAAAAGTGGCAAAAGGCTTTAAAATTTGTAAAACAGCATATTAAAGGAGAGTATTAATTGTCTAATAATATTTTAAATGAAAAATATTTTTAAATTTGAGTGTAAGTTAAAAAAGTTATAAACCATAATTTCTTTAATGTTAATAATTTTATAGCTATAAATTTGCCATCGACGTTAAATGAATATGTATGTAATGCTATCATTTACATAGGTGGAAAATTATGTTATTGCGCTCGTAAAAAATAAGCAGCAGACCAAGTCGAGTAATATTTTTTTAACAAGATACTCATATCACTCAACTTGGTCTGCTACTTACTTCTGCTGAACACAATAATATAATTCCTCACCTATGGAAATAATAGTATTATATATATATTCATTCAACGTCGATGACGAATTTATTAACATTAAAGAAATTATGGTTTATAACTTTTTTAACTTACACTCAAATTTAAAAATATTTTTCACTTAAAATATTATTAAACAATTAATACTCTCCTTTAATATGCTGTTTTACAAATTTTATGAAGCCTTTTGCCACTTTTCTTCACAATCACTATTTGTTTTCTTCATTTTTTCAATTATAACTCAAAGTCTCCAAGACATTTGTGTCTACGCCACAATCACTACTTATTTGACACTCGTATATGCCATCCTTCTGTTCTCGTAATAAGTGACAGCGCTGACGTATGAAGCAGTGGTTGTCTTTCTCCTCAAGTTGGAGCGCGTTCCGAAGTCAACAAAAAATCGGTGCACATACCTTTTAGTTCACGAGTGTACATAGTCAAAAATAAGGATATTAGTGGTATCGAAATTACTAATACCGATATTTTTATTTATGATACGTAACGATATGAAATATCGATATTTTCTATTGTATTGCCCCATCCCTAGAGTTCGAATCCATTCTCCTCCAATGAACACAGATAAAGTACAAAGATTCTAGGTTTGTTTTTTATTGCTGAACTGGCTGCACTAACTTGCACTTATTCTCTTCTTCTCTCCCTTTCACTAACTCCTAGATGTATATCTATTTCTTTTTATGTTCCCTGAGTATACACCAGTTCAGCGATAAAAAACAAACCTTTGGATAAGAATGAATCATAATCGGCGTTAGGCCATGCCAAGACACATTACAGAGTAGATTACTGCACTCGGTTATTTTATTGGTCGGCCAAAACTTGTCTGCGAGTAGTGGTGCCGTATAGCGGTTGCGGTCTGCAACCGAATGTGAGACATCGGCGGACATCGCGCGGCAAACGTACCATGTCCTGTGTCTAAGAGTCCTGATGCAACCTCATGGTCCTCATTTTCGTTGAACCAGTGGGTAGTTAGAAGTGCAACGGATTTAAGGTTAGTAAATACATGAATATTTTAATATTTTACTTATTTTAATTATAAAAATAATTATTTTAGCATATAAGCAATAAATATTTTAGCATGTAATTATGATTAAAAAGCAGAGAATTAAAGAATTTAAGGTTTCCTGGTCAAATTCTACCCAATTTATTGACAGAATTTTATTCTAGTTCATACTAGTTATTTTAAAATATGTCTATCATATTGGCATTGTATATTTGTGTCCATCTGCGAAAAATCTAACGAAAAAATTGGAGAATATTGTGTCGAACATGATTAGAATCGTGCATCATGATTATTAAGAGCTCAAAAGAATTTTTTATTGCTAATTCAAAGTTATAATACAAGAAAATATTTAGACACAATATATTTAATTTTGAAATTTCTGAAATAATACAGAACAGAAACAACTAGGGAATAGAATGACGATATATCATTAATCGCACAACGGAACGATTTTTTTAACCTATTACGCGGCACGTGCTACTGCTATACTATGAATATCGAAGTAGCATTTGTATAAAAATAATAATTATATATTGTAATTAACTCAAAACAATTGAAATAATGGACATTAACAATATGTATATAAAAATTTAGAGCTTTCCTGTCTTTTCTAATTTAATTAATAGATCAGGCATAGAGTAGTTATCCTAATTTTAATTCCAGTAAAAACTGATTAGTTCTCTGCCAGCAATTAAATAAATGGAAATATTGCTCCTACTAACCTTAAACTCGACATAGATAAAAATAAAATTGAGCTTCAAGGAAGATGGAAGAGAATGGACAAAGAAAATGAATGTTATTTATGAAATATTCTAGGATAAATTCCTCTGAAAAATATAAAATAGTGATGCAAAAAGTAGTAGAAAAATAGTAATTAATAAAATTACTAAGTAACTTAACTACGTAACAAAAAGGAACACACAAAAAATAAAAGAAAAGCTCATATAAAGTAAAAATATAAAAACAAAAAGTAACAGGTGGACAGTAACTTTCAACACAAACAATTATATAGTTAAAAGTAATTCTAAAAGAAAATAAAATAATTATTAAAATTATAAATCTAGAAGAACGATAAAGTTTACATAAAAATATATTCTGTTAACCAGTCAAAGTTAGAATTAATATATTTCAGTACTAGATGCTTGGTGTTTTATCTTCATTCATGAATCCAACACAATCCTTACATTTTCGGCGTGATGAAGAATCAAGATTTTGTAACGAAGATGATCGTTTAATTATGTGGTTGAAGTGGGAAGAAGCGTGGGAAGAGGATAAATTAAGACGTAGACTAGAATGGATACGTCAACAAGAGTTTGAGATACAACATATAAAATTAAAACAACAAATGATAATAAATTATGAGAAAAAACGCGCAGAAGCTATGAAGTTAAAGCCAACATCTTCACATCATAGTCGTAGCAAAAGCAGGAGTAAATCGCCATCATATCGTCGACACAAAGAAAAATCCCAGTTGGATGCTTTCAAATCTGATACTATATTCAAGAAGTGAGTTACAAGCATATAAGTTATATTTACATAAATATACAACTGAGAAGATCGAGGAGTTCCCTCTAGAACATTAATTTCTCTCTAAGAGGGTAATTATTAAATTTTATAAAGAGAACAATTTAATAATTTGACAATTTAAATTTTGCATAAAGATAATTATTAAATTTTACAAACTAGCTTCTATTAGATTTATAAAGCAAAATAAAACTTGTATAGAAAATTGACTCCAATTTAACAGACCATAATTTTTTTATATAATGTCAAATAACTATAACTATATTAAAAATCATAAAATAATAACTACTTGAAATATTGATTAACTAAAAGTACTATATCAGTCAATATAATTACCGATTTATAATTATATATTTATTATAATTATGTATATTATCTTTAGATTAGATGGGTCTGCAAGTGAAGCAGTACCTTTATTCAAGGGTCCTGAGGGCACACAGATTAATACTACGGAATTACGTCGTATTAAAGTTGATATTTATAGGAATATCCCTACAAAAAGACAAGTTACCGATCTACAACGGGATATACTTAATCCTGAGGATGTGATTCTGAAGAGAAGAGAGGGTAAAATATAGTTTTGGCATTCTTTTGTGGAAGATATATCGCTGAATAACAGTGAAACTTTATTGTTATCTAGTTATACAACTTCTCAAATTTCATGCACTCGTGTAGTGACAAAAGCATTTTCATTATCAAATTAAATCTTATAATAGATCAATCATATTGTTCATTCAAACTGGGCACAAGATAGTCCCAGAGGCGAAAGAAGAACTAAAAAGAAAAACTAACAAGCGAATTAAACGAAATACAAAAGAATATTACAATGCATGAGCGAAGAGAAAAAGAATGGTTTAAACGTAAAAATATCACGTTATTTAAAGTCAAGTGTGTAAATTATTGTGTTATTAATATACTTTTCATGTTAAAATTATACTATTGTAATACAGGAGAAGGATCTAAACCGATATTCGAAAGGGATGAAATAAAAGTAATTGGTGAAGTGGAGGAACGACGTACGGTTGTAGCCACAGATGGCGAGCAATCAGGTATGTATTATTAAATATAATAAAAACAATTATCATTATTATTCAATTTAGTATAATAAAATCGAAGGACTGAGTTTGATCTTTTGAAACACGCCAATTTTTTAATAGATAACTGTTTAACCAATTGTACCTCCTTTGGAGGAGAATGGGCTTTAAAACTGGGAAAGTCGATAAAATTAGTTTGCATGTCACAGATAAATTTTCTGCGGATCACGATCCTTTTTTTCTGTGTCAATTTTTAGTTTCTTTTTTCTTGGTGTATTATATAAATCGCAAATCCGCCGTGTTATAAAGTAGTGATGATATGAAAATGTATATTTTTTCAACCGTACAACTTTCAATTCCGGCAGGCAAAATACGAATTTCTAAAAGGCCTTCGTCATCGTTGAGTCCTATTAGAAATCGCAGTTATAATCCTGAATATCTATCTTCCTATTACACCAGGTATGTTTAATTGTTATTTATAATCTACTAATAATTATTAAATACATTCCTTTTAATATCTTCTTTTCTGTTTATATCTGTATAAACTCTGTTCTGTTTATATCTGTAGATATCGAAGTGCTGAATCAAAAAATCATCATGATAAAAGGATAGAATACACTGATTATCATAAAAGTGACAGGTGAAGAGATATGTTATGTATTGTTACTTTATTAACAAAACCAAATTGAATTATTTTCTTAAATAATTCATATAAGAATATTATATGATTGATAATATAGTTATAATTTTTTATTTTTAAAAAATTTCTTTTATCCTATTGCAGACACTATATATACACAGACACTAATAATACACAGAAACATAAGGACTATAAAGAGAAATACACAGATAGAAATGTAAAAAGGCACGACGGTACTCGTTCAAGTTCTAGCGAACGAGACATGCATAGTTCCCATTCTAGGTATGGAATAATGATTCGTATTACATATTATCATTATTGTAGATCTCTGCATGCAAAAAGAATGTCGAATAGAATTGAACATTTTTACGCTGGAAATTAGACAATCATTATTATTTTATTATTAAAAGTCCATTATAAAAAACAGAACTTATCGCAACCGATATAAAGATAAATTAAACGAATATTCTTGGGAAAGGAAAATTAGAGACAAAAATAGGGATAGTGATAAGGATAGAGATAAAGACAGAGGTACTGATATGGATAAGTATAGAGACAGGGATAAAAGAGATCAAGATCGAGAAAGAGATAGGAATAAAAATAGATCTAGAGACAGTAGAGATCCAATGTCACATTATATTGGACATGTACCAGTACCTATTTATTATGGTGTAAGTATATTTATATCAATTTAATGAATTCTTGGTAGTAATTGATTTATTTACCAATATAATTTATCTCTAGAATTTACCTCCGGGACCAATCATGGTAAACCCCATGGTTACAATTCCTAGAGGACAGGTTCCTTCTTTAGGAAGAAGTCGGCATCTTCCTTTAATGAGACCATTCTCACCGCGATTTGTTCCACCTGATATATATAGAATGGGACCTCCAGCTCCAAATTCAAGTAAGTAAATTTAATCAAGATAAGTCAAACATTATGTGAAATATGATAATTTTTGTAGGATATGAATTTATATTTGTATTTATTATATTTGAATTTATAATTGTATTGGTCATAAAGAACATTGACTTTTTCTAAGGTAGTAATTAAATTGTACAAGTTAAATTTTATCAAGTTTATAAAACAAAATAAAAACTGTATAGAAAATTGCAAAATACAACAGCCCACAATTTTTTTTATACAATGTCAAATAGCTCTATAACTATGTTAAAAGTTGCAAAATAATAACCTGCTTCATACATTGATTCATTAAAAGTTTCAATGTTTCACTGTTTCAATCAATATAATTAGTTTATTATACTTAATCAACAAGTAAATTTTTTCCTTAAAATACAAAGAAAACATTTTAAAAATATTTATATATTATATATATATATGTATATATGTTTCTATATATAATATATGCATTCTTTTGCTAATATTATGTAGAATATAACGAGAATGACTACAATGTATGACGACTATATATTATCTTTAGATTAAATGAGTGCAAGTGGAGCAATGTCTTTATTCAAGAGTCCTGAGGGCACATAGATTAGTACTGCGGAATTATGTCGTATTAAAATTGACACTCATAGGAATATCTTTGCAAAAAGACAAATTACCGAATTACAACGGATTATACTTAATTCCAAAGATGTGATCCTCAAGAGAAAAGAGGGTAAAATGTTATATTTTTGATATTCTTTAATACATGTATCATTAGATGACAATGAAACTTCATTGTCATTTAGTTGTACAATTTTCAAAATTTCATGCATTCGTGTGCACATATGTAGTGACAAAAGCACTTATTATCAAATTAAATCTTATAATAATTAATCATATAGTTCATTCAAATTGAGCACTGCCAATGCCTGACAGAGAAGAAAGAAGAACTGAAAAGAAAGCAAATCGAACAAAACTTTTGCTAATTATACTCTTAACTCGTTGCATTGACATTTAATAAGCAGCCTCAATTAAAAAAATTGCTTTGCAAAACTATTGTAAAATTTATAAATCTGATTGATATATATATTTAATTATCTCAAAATTTAAAAGCATACAACAATTAGATTTTATAACAGACAATTTTATAACAGTTACAAAATAACTTTCTTTATTAAAGTAGTCACTGACTCTTCGTGCTAAACATGCGTTTATTGAAGTTCAGAAAGAATAAAGGCATTTTTTTATATTACGTGCCTAAGACGTATTGCATGGTTTTTAAAGACATCTTGAAAAACATAATTTCAATGCAATTCTAATGTTTCAAAATTTCAACATTTAATATATTTACATCAAATGTTTCACGTTAATATAATACAATGTTTTTCAATATTATAAATTGAATATAATAAAAGAAGATCAAAGAAGATATATCATGAAGAACGTTATATCTTTTAATACTTTCTCCAAATAGCTACGTTTTAGCGTTTATTACAGCCTTGTTTGAATCGATTCATTATGATCTTTTTATGATAGCGACTATATAACATATTCAACTCAGAAGTCACGATAAATAATCTTATATTATTGCTATCGTGAAAACCACGCGACTTATATTTACTTTTTAAATATAACCCTTGATTATTTTGATAACAATAATACACATTACAAAAATGATATATAACCGGGAATGTTAATGTAAAAATATATAATGAAAATATGTAAAACTTTTAAACAAGATAAAACAAATATCTAATAATACATATCTGTAATATAAAAGAATGTAAAAATAATTTTTTAATAGTGTTCAAAAATGAGAGATACACAATTATTCTCAATTATTTATTATACATATATCTTACTTTTATTTGATAACTACATTATAATGAAATATGATTATAATAAAAACATTCCCAAGGTAAAAATGTTGAACATATGTTCTATAACAAGTTTTTGACGAAACATTCATGATCCTCTAAATGTAATAAATTTTGTATAAATATTAATTATATTTTGTATAAATATTAATTTGTATAATATTAAATAAGATTACACGTATTACATGCAGTTTCATGTAATAATTGACAATGATTTTAATATTAATCAAAATAAGAAAGAGCACCTATCAATATATGAAAAATGGAAATACAACGTATTCGATTCATTATAAAAAAAGAATCAAATTAGTAATAGAAAACAAATTTGTAACATTCGAAGACATAACATTGCAAGACGTAATATCGCAAATGCTACTAAAGATATATTGGAAGACGCGTCAGAGATGATATAGAAGATATAATATTAGAGATCCGACGTCGGAACATATCAAAAAGTACGGTCATGGACAAAAAGTTTTCTTCTTGGACTAGACGAGTACATTCTTAAATTATTAATTAAAAAAATTATGGACAACTTTCTATCCACGATTGTATGACATAAGAAGATATTAAATCAAAGATACAATATCAAAAGTACAACATCAGATATATAACATTAAATATATAGCATTGTAAGTACAGTATATTAATTAGTACAACATTGGAAGATACCAAATCAGATATACATTATTAAAACTTTAACATTGTAAGTACAGCATACAAGATGCAGTATTATAAATACAGCATTGAAGATATAATATCGTAAATGTATTAAATATGCAACATCGAAAGATATCAAGACAGAGATGCAACATTAAATAATATAAGCAGCGGCATATTGAAGATAAAATATATCAGAGATGAAACGGAGATATATCAGACATAACAACGTAAGATATAACATCGAAGAAATAATATTGAAGATACGTCGTAAATATATTGAATATACAACATCGGAAGGTATAAAGTCAGGGACTTGCGACAATAGAAGATATAATGCTAGAGATGCAACACTGAAGGTAAAATATTAAAGATCAAAACGACGAGGAAGATAAATCAGAAGTATAACACTCGAAAATTTAACATTAAAAATGCACTACTGCAAATATATTATCGGTAAATATAATATGGAAAGATACAACATTGGAAGATATTAAATCAGAGAAACATCGGAAATATTAAAAACATAGTCTGTTCTTTATAGCTGAACTTGTGCGCGCTTTTGGAAAGAAACAAATATATTGAAAAGAAACAAATATATAGCTGACTTTATGTAAAGAAAAGAGAAAGAGAACTGATACGAGCTACTAGTGTAGTCAGTTATGAAGAAAATACTTATATCAATGACAGTACGAAAAATACAATGAATAGTATTGCAGATACATCATAAATAATAAAGATATAATATCGCAAATATACGGAATATTCAATATCACAAATGCAGCATCGAAGATTATTATTGAAGATCAACATCGTGGATTCATTGAATATATAATATCGATATAACATCGGAAAATGTTGAGAAATATAACATCGATTCAACATTAAAAGATACATCTACTATGAACATTAACATCAGGTATGTAATAATATACTCTTTGCCTGTATAACTATCCTGTGTTGTGTTCATTTCAACATATTAATTTCATTCTATTCATTCTATAAAAATGCATTATCTTTCAAGGAATTAGTATGAATTGCAAGAATAAGGTGATAATTTATTTGTATATTTACTTGTATATTATGCTTACAGGAAACTATAGAAGGCTCGCGTCTTCTTTCACAGCCATAAATAAACAAAACTGTGATTTGACTGTGATATTGATAGAAAGGATCATTATGAGAAAAAAAATTACATTTCTAACCATATAATATATGATTAAGTGAAATATAGAATCATAGCTGACATTTTCAACTACAGCACAAAAATTGAACGAGATGAAGTTATTATATGTCATTGTCATTCTAAAGAGATGGCAAGTATAATTTTATTTTATAATATATTTATTTTATATAATATATTAATAATATATGTAATATATTTATTTTATACTATTATTATAATATATTATCATTACTTTTATTTTATTGATATATCATTTCTCTAGTCAATTTGGTCTTTGGCCTGTCTTCATATTTTAAATTGTGACATAGTCCATGAGGTCTATGAAAAATTCTGATTGAATATTCGAAAGATCCAACAATGGAAGATATAAAACAGAAGATTAAACAATATATGAAATAACATTGGAAGATACATAACATTGGACATAACATTGGAAGATAACATTGGAAGATACAAATTCAGTTCACTTGCAAACAAATCGGATCATGTTTAAACTTCTCTCCGGGACGTGTACATTTAAAAATTTGTGGTAAAAAATCTATATTGATTTATTTAAAACTAGAAAGACAATGGTATAAAAAGTTTATGCCAAAAAAGCTGTATGATAATTATAATTATTTTATATATTTTTTATATCTTGTAATGTCAAATAAATAAATATATTTCATATACATAGTATGATTTAGCAAAATTATTTCCTAACATTCGAATATAATAGTTTGCTTGCTAGCATGTCGAACTGGAAAGGATGAAATAAAAAAATTTATAAATTCTATTTTGAATTTAATATTCACTGAATTATTTATTCACTATTTATTACTTCATGTCAGAGGAAAAAATATATGATCGATACCCTCAGAGATACTGTTTGTTTTTTTTCGTCCTAATTTCCCGACTACAATGCAAGCGTCCTGGGGCTCAATTTTCGAAAATTTGTGAAAAATATCTTATACGATATTTCATCAATGGGACAACTTAATCAGCTGAGAATCGTGATATCTAGTGAAAATCACGAAATATCGTATGCGATATTTTTCAAGAATACGAGCCCTGTTCGATACGTGGCCGAACAAAAGAGTTTTAGAAAGTTGATATACAGGGTGTTTCAAAAAGAATATCCCAATTTAAAAATTGTATATCTCTGCAACCACGAACTACAAATGAATATGCGACTTGTACCACGTGAACGGTCTTGGCCCAAAATTTGATACTACCGCTAAATGCCCACACCATTGGCGCCCAAACAACCGCTACGCTTAATTGGAAGATGGCGTCTAGTCAACAGAAGGCGTTTTGTGTTCTCGTATTTAGCAAGACTGAATCCGTAATTACGGTTCAGCATGCATTTACATTACAGAATGTTCATCACTGGACAAAAACATTCGTCGTTGGTATTGACAATTTCAAGGAACAGGGCGTTTATGTAAGGGAAGTTGGACGACCACGTACTTTAGAAGAGAATACAACGAATTCAAGTGGCTTTTCAGCGAAGCCCGTGCAAATCCACTTGCATCTACCGGTAGTCATCTGAGCCAAGGCCACCATTCACGTGGCCGTACAAATCACATTCATTTGTGGCTCGTAGTTGTAGAGATATATAATTTTCAAATCGGAACATTCTTTTTAAAACACCCTATAATATGGATCGCAGAGCGATGCCCGTACTGGGTAAGCTGTTCGATCGACTGGACAACCGACCGGTCGTCCCCGGTCTAACGCCAAAGTCCTCAAGAGTGGCAATCGCCAAATACGCGATATTAAACGCACGTAGCAAATAACGCCGAGAAAATAGTAGCAGAACGCAATAGAGAACACAAAGAATACAACAGAAAAAAATGCAAATTATCTAAATGAGCGAATACGCTCGTATAGACAAAGTCTCGTGAGACAAACGCGTCAGCGACATTAGCGGCGGGCGGCAATACCGAAGAATGTCAATAGGCGCGGAGGATGGAACGACTCACTACCGTCGTTCAGACGATAGAAATGATCCTTTCGGATCCGAAGCCAGTGATTATATAGAATTAACGCAAATTTCTCTTTCGAAGCGGTGCTTCGAAACGGTCAAAATTGTAAGACCAACCAAGCATTTCCTGACCGCCAATCAAGTTCTTTCCGAACTTAAAACTGCTGCGGAAAATCAAGGTTTCGAAGGAGTTTGGAACCGGAGCTCTAACAAGAGAGCGGATCGAGTCACTCTTGAGAAAAAAGTCAAAGGTCCGGAGGACGTTTGGAAGAGCTCCAAAAGGAGACGACGGATCAGTTCGTTATTGAAGCCACGAAGATTTGAAAAGGAGATTTCACTGGATTTAAACAATTTTTCCTCAAAAACCCACCGAGCATATAAGAGCGGTAGGGGGGGGGGGTTTGAACCCAAAAACTCCAAGACTTGCTCCGCGAATTATTAAAAAAAAACTCGTCGATAAAGAGCGTAAACAAATAGAACAGAAATAAAAACAAAGTTGCCACAATCGGCGCTGGGCCATGCAAAGGCAGGAAACTTTCCTTCCGCGTTCGGTTATATCCTCGGGCGGCCGAACTTTAATTGTGAGCAACGGAATTAGTGAGCGCGCCGCGTAGCGGCCACAGTCGACACCAGTGACTAGGTACGTGGTGCCGGTGAGAGCGTCGCACACTCGCCTTCGAGAAAGACATTCATCGCTCGTATGCGAGAATGCTGAACGGGAGTACTACCTGCTATGGCGGCCCGCCAATTGGATTTCCGTACAGCAGCACATGCCGTACGGAATACTATTGGTATAAATAATTATTGCAGAGTATTGCATTGAACATATTATCGTTACACAATTATTTTCCAATTTATTTAAAAAACAATTTTTATATATTTAACTTAAGAATTTATTATATAAAAAGAATTTATTATATAAATTGCAGTCGCAATATGCGAAGTTGGCTACATTTGCTTATACAATTCAAACAATAATTAAAAAGCAGTTTAAAAAGCAGTTTTAGAATATATCATTCACTCTTAACACTTCAGTGTCAATACAAAATCATTAAAGTTAATATTCAGGTGACTCTTGAGAATATATTCAATCTAGAGAATGATACTCAAAAGATTTTATGTAGGATTTATAATTATCTATTCAGTGTCATACTCAAGTATTCAAAGTAAACTTTTAAATGTTCAGTGTTTATACTCAAATTGGAATACGAATAATATTCAGTTACTGGATGTACAAACTCCATCTTATAAGGTATAATAATTTAAGTAAAATAATTTAAAATTTAATAATTTAAGTAAAATAAAATAATTTAAATATAATAATTTAAGTAAAATATTTTATCCATTAGTTTCCTACTATCTACTTTGTGAAAATATATTATTCTTCAAGGAACTAGTATGAATTGTAAGGATAAGAAGATGATTATTTATTTGTATGTTTACTTATATATTCAAAAAAGTAATGTTTGAACAAGCAGAATCATTTAAATTTTAGAAGATTTTAAAAGAAAGAATATATTATTCAACTTCTTATAATAGATTATAAACTGTATTTGATCAAATATGGGCCAATTTTCTTTGTTATATAGCAACACACATACCTTTTTTAAAAAGCATTCCAAATATTCAGGTCCATGAACATGTAGTTATTTTTCGTTTATGTTTAGAAGTAGAGGATGACTGAACAAAATAAGTGGACATTCAAATCAACATATTTCTTTTCATATAAGAGGAAATCCTCTTGAAATAAGAGGAAAACAGAATAATATCTAATAAATTTTAGATGAATGTTCACTTTAGTCGCTCTATCGAAAAAGGAATCCTTTTCCTCTAAAAGATTTTGCTTAGAATATGAGACTATGGGAAAAATCACTTTACGAATAGAATATTATTTTTTGGGTGTTATGCTTACAGGAAACTATAAAAGATCAACATCTTTTTTCACAGCTATAAATGAATCAGACAGTGCTAATATGGATAGAAAGGATTATAATGAGGAAAAAAATTATATTTCTAACTATATAAGTAAAATATAAAATCATGGCTGACATTTCCAATTACAGCATGAAAATCGAATGAGGTGAATTTATTATATGTTAACTGTCATTCTGAAGAGATGGCAAGTATAATTTTATTTTATAATATACTATTATTATAGTATACCATTATAGTATTACTTTTATATTTTATTGAGATATATCCTCTCTAGCAAATTTGGTCTTTGGCCTGCCATCTTAAATTGTGACATAGCCTGTAGGGTCTATGAAGAATATAAGTTGAATACTTAAAAGATCTAACAATGGAAGATATAAAACAACAAAAGATTAAACAATATATGTAATAACATTGGAAGATATAAATATTTTGGCAGTTTTGCTTAGAAGGTTTGCCCTGATTTAGGATATTTTCTGAAAAGATAAACCTTGAATTGCAGAATGTTATTTTACTCTACAGAAACAAATAATGTGTTATGCATACCTGTAATTGCACATTATATGGACTGCATATTAAGTAAGTAGTACAATAAACGATTCTTTTTTTTTGTTATAACTCAGATAGACAGACATGTTGGCAATAGCATGCATACATTTAATATATATTACGATATCATTGAAGCTGCATAACATGTTTGTAATATGCTTGTTGTAAGAAATATGTATTTATTATTCCATATTTTGTAGCAAAATAAATGTTATATGTAACATGTTATTGCTGATTAATTGTGTCTTCTTGCTGATACAACTATGGCATATGTTGCAATTTTCGTGGCATCAGATTGCTTTTTTCATATATAGTTTTTTTATATATACTGCTACAATGCTGCTTTCTTGTATAAAGACGCATCTTTATGTACTTATGTTATTATTTTAATTCTTAAATTCAATCTCTCTGCAGATAACCTGCCGAAATTTATCTATCTGAGAATCCAAGCAATGCTTTTAAAGAGTTATATTTGTGTTAATCATATGTAAACACAATTTATTCATATAACTATATATCTTTTTAACTTTATCTCCGAATTTTTTATTGCTGAAGATCAGATTAATATTAATCAAAATACGTTAATATCCTAATTTACATCTCTTCACAGAAAATATACCAGCACACACATTCATCTTGACAAAAGTGCAACTGTATTCTGTTGTTAAGATGCAATTGTTTATTGAATTCTTGTTCTTTGGTTCGCTTGCAGGTAAGTCAGATCGTTATGTTTTAATCTTCGAGGGGAGAGGAGAGGAAGAAGAGATAATATATGAGATCACCCTGTTTATAGTGAAATTTTGTCTCTTTTCCGTTAATAGGTTAACTTGTCTCCATGGGGCCCAAATAACTAGGTGTTGATTATAGGGTGCCCATCTTGTAAACCCTAGTTTAGCTGATCTTGCAAAAAAGAATAGTAAATCGTGTTGTAGTTACATAGTATAATTCATGCCTTTTTTCAAAATTAAGGCATGGATGTCGTCACGCCACGTTGAATCGTAGCCTACCTATAGACAAACCAATTGAAAGTGGTGTAAGGTAGATAAATTGTTATTACATCCTACTTCTATATATCAAAGTATCTCTCGCTTGCCTATACCCAAAAAATATATCCCTGTCCTTCAGACTCCATTCAAATTCAGGTTTTCTCTCGTCCTCCGAGCTCGGATATTTCCCATATGACGGTGCTTCCTCTCTGCGCCGGGCCTGTAAATTTAGTCTCGTTGCCCATGTGCTAGCTCATATTCTGGTTTAACATTTTCTTAGCGTACGCCCGTCGCAGTAACCGAGTCCGCTGTGGTCATATATAGTTATTTGAATAATTTGGACACGGAAACGAAAATTGCAATTAGAATCGCAAACATCCCGGATACCGATTGTGAATTAATTTGCATCATATAGTTGGAATCTGGCTCCACTCTTCCTTAATTGACGATGTAATCTAATTCATCCTGCTCTACAATTGCGACCCTTATGTTCTTTGAGTTCCTTTTGTGCTTTGCACAACTAAAATTAGTTTCCTAGGCTATTACTAACCGTATACAGTATACCAGTAGCGAAAACGGATGGAAGTGCTGAGAGAGTAGGAGTGGGGGAGCAGAGCATTCTAGTGATACTATTGTCACAAAGAAAAATTTTATACCTAGCACATCACAAGATTCACGCGACTGTACCTAACATTACTTCTAAAAGATGCCGGATAAGTTTCCATTCATCACCCGTAGTTTGGTGGCCACCGTTGGACGGTAGGGAGCTTTCATGGGGGTGTGGATGAGTGGAGATTCCGTGCCAGCCAAAATTGGAGAACTTAAAGTTACCTAAAAAAACTTTGGCAAAGGGATCAACATTTTTGTCCTCAGTGCCATCCTTTTTAAAACGCATTCCTCAATCGGATCATCACATTTCTTCTTTTCAGGGGTCGACAATTACTTTCATAAGCTCCCAAGTCTTTGCAAGATTTACCTGAAGAAGCTTCGTGGATCATCTTTATTTTTATCAGGAGTAATTCTTTCTGCTAATTGTCTTATGAAGGCCTTACTATGTAATTGCATGCGTGTACTTGCACTACGTGGATAACCTCAACGAGATGTTGGTAAAATCTTTCCTGCACGAAAATGGGATAATTATGATAAGTTGTATTGTTTAAACAAGTTTTTCTTATATTGACAGTATGAGTTAACTGTATATAAGCATATATGAATCTGTATTGTAAATTAATGAAATTATAAAGATGTAAAACGGATTTTTCTATCAAATTATATCTTTAAAATCCAAATTTTAGAAAGAAAAATCAGACTTACTATAATATTTTTTATAAGTATGTATAAACTTAACTGACAAATGAGAAAGTGGGATGATGAAGGGTAGGTTATGAAAGTCACTACTTATAAATCATTTTGAACAAGTTAATGCTTTGGGACATATCGAAAGGATATTTTTTTACTCCCACCCGGCTATCGATAATACAATACATATTGTTTTTACAAAAATAACAGCCATTTAACTTCAAACTCCATCCTAGCAGACGTTACAAACATCTGAGCGCATACCATCGGAGAACTTAAATCGTGGGAGTCCCTGCATTGGTCAACCAAAGAAGCTTATAATTTTTATGAAGACAAATAATTACTTAGAAGTTTATCGCAAATAAGCGTCAATGTTTTCTTAGTTATTACGATTGATTAACTACTAACGAAATAACTTGTTATAAATTTCAACGTCATAAGAAAGATATGTATAACTATTACGTTTAATGTTTTAACATAAAATCGCAACATTGTATATAGAAATTATTAGATTTGAATTTTTTATATTAAATACGTTTTAGTTGTTATTAAAAGAGAAATGTATGTTTAATAATATTAAATCAAAATTAAAGAATTTGTGTCACGCTTGCATTGTGATCAGAGGAATTAGGGACGAGGAAAACAAATGGTATTTCTAGGAGTATTGATGATATATTTTTTCCTCTAACATGAATTAGTGATAAGTTTTAGTGAATATTAAATTCGAAATAAAATTGAAAAATTTTTTATTTCATCTTTCCACAGTTTCATGACGCTAGAAAATATATTCAAATGTTAGGAATAAATGTGCTCTAAATCATGCTGTGTGTAAAAAATAATTCTATTTCACATCGAAGACACAAATTTATTATAAAAAGAGTACGTTATAATACAATTATAAGTACAAGTTTTTTTGGCTTAAACATTTTATACTAGTATGTCTTTCTAGCTTTATTAGCATTCATTCATATATATCAATATAAATTTTTTTTACCATGTAAATTTTTAAACACAATGTCTGAGAGAAGTTA